TATACTCAAATTCCTTCCTCTATCATGTCTTAATGAGTGTTCTCATTTTATTATACTTTTTATAATCGTTAATTTAAATTAATACAACATTTTACCAAAAAACAGTAATAAGTATCTCGAAAGTTTCATTATCCCCACAATCCTCATACTTGTACTGAGCTTATATTCTACTGAAAGTAATGATTACGAAATTAACAATTATTATAAGATTAAAAATCAATTAATCAATTATTTAAATTGTATACCTAAAGTTCAATGATCCAAATATAAAAAGAATAATAAAAAAAATATGGAAAAAATCGAAATTTAAAATTCCGAAAAAGATATTAAATTTTTGATAGTCACGATCTAATATATATAAAAACAAAACAAATTATCGTGTCGCAGATATGTCACAATAACAAAAATATTTTTCTCAAGACAAAAACAATGGACCGAAGTATATATTTGTATAATTATGAAAATTAATAAAAACATATTTCCGGAAATAATTGATAAATCGGGCTAAAACTCAAAATATTATTTTGAGTCAAGGAACCCATAGAAAAATTGCCGACGAATTTCAAAAGAGTTTTTTTCGTGTCAAATTCACGTACATTATTTTTCATGACAAGCGCAACTGAAGTTCGACTTTTACTGCCTTTTGAGAGAAAAAAATCGTTAATATTTACGCGTTTTGATACACCCTTGAGCGAAGCATAGTGAAGTTAACGCATAAACAATAATTCAGTCTTACCAACCTAAACGCAATTAAAAAAGTTAACTTTTGCGTTAACAGCTGATTTTTCTCGCCACCATTAGCAAAAAAAATCAGCTGTAGATGCGAAAGTTAAGTCGTCTGCTTTCTTTATTTTCGCATCGCTTTAAAAACAGCAAAAGTCGAATTTTCTGTTAAACTTACTTAGTTGCGTGCATAACTTAAAATTTGTCACCGAAAATCTGATAGGAATCATTTAAAAAATTCTATCAAAGCGTTTGAGAATTTTAAATTTAATTGACCCTGTATATTTCACCACCATTCAACGTATTATGCAGATATTCTAAAACACGAGCAAATATTTGACCCTACTGCTGCAAATAAATTTTAATTATATCAATTATTATTTCAGTGTGTAAATGTATTGTTTTTATAATTTTTCTTTGTATGCTATTTAAAGTTAAAATAACGATTAATTTTTTTAACAGAACTATAAAAAATAGGCAATTTATTTTGCAACATTGTTTTATTAGACTGATATTTACTTAATATATTTGTTTATTGCAAACATTACGGCCATTTCAAGCGCGCGAAACGCACGAATTACAAAACTGTTTCTATAAAAAAAATTGTAGATTATTTATTATATAATATTTTGGCATCAAAATTGTCAAAAATATTCTTCTTTTATTAGGTTATACATTAAAAAACTCAAGAAATATTTTATGAAAGTAGATATAACTTTAATAATTAAAAGGTGTGGACAGGACAAAAAAAAGATTTATCTTGTCCCGTCCATCCCTGTCAATTATTGAAATTATCTCTACTTTTATAAAATATTTCTTGCGATTTTTTTTACTTAATGTATACCCTAATAATAGAAGAAAATATTTGACAATTTTGATGCAAAAATAATTTATAATAAATTAGCTACAATTTTTTTTTATAAAAACAGTTTTGTGATTTGTCCCGTCCATCCGCTTGAAATGGCCGATTATCAAAAAATATAAAATAAAGTATGGTTAAGTTACGTCACTAACTACTGGCTATAAAAATTGTATATGTTTAAGGCTGTGAATTAAAAGTATAAATTATTTTAACAATTTTTCGGTTAAAAATTACATTCGGTTAATTTTATCTTGTCCTAAATGTTTATGGCGTAACTTTATCAAAATTGTACATAGAACCTTAATAATATTATTCTCTATTATAGTTATGTACGATTTTCAGTTAATAGTATTAATTTCACTTTAAGACTGTGTTTTTATTGTATTCATTATTGTAAGGTTTATTAAATAAAATATACTAAAACCGTATTATTTCCTTTAAATTCCCTTTTCTTAAAATATATTAAAAAAATTGTATTTTTAAAGTAGAGTTCGAACGCTGCAAGTTTCATACCGCAACGTCATCCCTATTATTATAAAAAATTTCTTGCATGGAAATAAAAAAATGCTATTATTTTCCAAAAACGTTTTGTATTTTTTTTAATATCTTTTTTTTGAATATCTGAAAAACCCTTATCCCGATGTATATAAAACTGGTCGACAAAATTAAATTTTTTGTTTACCACAGGGGAACCACCAACTTTTCTGGGGTTATTTGGGTGCGCTGGTTCCAATGCTCAAATAGCATTGTTTTCGAGATATTCTGATATAAACATTTTTTTCGATATGCAAACATTCAAATTCGTATATATATTTTTTTAATCAAATACTTTAACCAAGGATCGTTGGTCATGTAGCTATAAGTTCTAAGTTAACTAAAAAATAATATATTATACCCATTCATAAACTAACTATGACTTCATTGTAACACCGCTATCGGTGCTGTAATGAGGTACTTTACCACACCTAAAATTTTGATCTTATTGCAATATTGGTTGGCTACTTTAAAAAATAAAATAATATTTTTCATATTGGTTATATTTTTATGATTTTTCTAGTACTTAAGGGACTTTTCTGGCAATAAATTTTGTTTAACACCAAAGAAAATCCTTTTTTTCTTCTTTAAGATTAACAGCAGCTTATCGTAAATAAGTAAATTAAGGACGCCATGGCGAATCGATTTTGACATTAACCCTTCAAACCAATGTCTGTGTACCACTATCAAAAGTAAAATTTGACCAAATTAAATATAAGGTATAAAATTATATTTTTTTTATATAAAATTTTTGCCAAATAGATAAAATAGCATAAAAAACTCATGTCATAAGACCTTAAGACATTATTTCTTTAATATAGTATTAAGATCTTATACTTAAGTTTTAATATGATTAACTTTTTTACCTAACTTTGGTGATATGTTAAACATATATTAGAAATATTCCCCAACACCAAAACCACCCTGACCAAAACAAAACACAAAGTGCTTAAAGTACTTTTCGCCAACGATGTTTGCATCTTCAGAAGCGAAGTGTAAATTTTTTTACCTGTTTTATTTTATTTTTAAATATTTTATGTATCGATTTCTGTTGAATTTTATTGCTCCACTGCAACTGCTTAACATTTTTCATGTATTTGTTGAAAGAACAAAGAGATTATTATTATTATTAATAGCACCCACGTTTCGCAGTTGAAGTGGGTTTGAAAATATAAAAATAAATTTTCCATCCACGGGGTGAAAACTTTCCATTGGCCTACACTGTATGTATGAATATGTAACCTAAACTCAATTTAATTAGATAGGTACATAAGTTTCTTTGCTCTCTCTAAGTTGAACTTCCTTTAACTCAAACAATTCAACATGTCAGAGGGCAAATTAATTTAGAGAAAATTTACTGTAATACCAACTTGACCTAAGTATAAGAAAATTGATTGTTAAAACAAAATACGCGTTGGGTGTTGTTCACATGATTTTTTAGGAATTCCTACGACCCAATTTGGTATGACTTAAGTCATACAACCGAAAATGACCGTAAATTTATATATTAATTTTGATGATTGGTTTGAGTGCCATTTTATTTGATTGCGTTAAAATTTTAACACAATAAAGTAGAGAAATGAAGCTACAAAATAATATAAATTTTATTTAAAAAGAAAAAAAAATTCGCAAACCAGCACTTTGAACTTGAACTTTGAAAATGTTTACCAAAAATCAATTTTAATTTGAATATTTGCTTATCGAAAAAAACGGGTTTTTACAATATCTCGAAAACAATGGTTAATTGAGCAAAATTATGGTTATTTTTGGAATCATCGCACCCAAATAACACAGATCTCAGCTGTTATTTTCAAGAATAAATATATATTTGACACTTCAATGCTTTTTATTTGCTTTGATATTTGTTCCAGATGAATCAATTAAATATAAATTTTTGTTGCCCCTGTACTGTTTAAACAGTAATTTCCTAGCTCGCTTCGTTTTCAAGAAAAACAAGTTTCTCTTTAAACTTTTGAGGTAACTTGTTTCAATTCAACACAAGGTAAAAATATAGGAATATTTAATAATGTAAAATATTGTTTTTATTTTGTAACGGCTTTTCCAAAAATTTAAAAATTCTTATTATTAATTAATAAAAATCGCAATTGCAAATCTCGAAAATGATGACTTAGTTTTATGTAAAGAATGTCATCCTATTTAATGAATTAATAAATTACACTAAATATTCTTTTAAATAAATATAAAAATATTTGAATTTTCCAAAAACCCTTACCTTTTTAAATAGTCCTATATTTTGAGCTTGAGTTTATTTGTCACTTAGTAATAATAATAATAACTTAAGTAATTACTTCACAAGTGTTTCTTTAAAAAAAGTGATAATATACATGATATAAAATTAAAAGAAAACAAAAAGGTCATTCTAAAAAAATAAACTTAAAAACCAATATCAAAATTTCAATAATAAAATAATCGGTGATTACGGTTTAACCATAATATTGTTAAATCATAATTATCGTAGTTGAATTGAATCTGTGAGATTAAGTACAGTCTATTTTATAAAATATAATAATTAAATGTTGTAAAATAATTATTCTCAACAAAATGCATTTTAAACTGTTAAATTGGTTTTAGAAAATGATTTGTCAAAATAAAAAATTTGGACATGTACTGTTCTTAATCTCACCGATTCAATTGCAATCTCTATTGTGGTCTGAAACAAGAACAAAGATGGTTGGTTGGTTGGCCAAAATTTGGCAATACGCATTTAACTTCTTAGCCACAGATATTAAGAACAAAGATAAAAGGGGGAACTCAGTTGAGATGACCCATTACCTACCCAAAAATTATAAGTGCAAAATAAAATGTACCCTTAGACAGAACTTATATTTTAACGTGTTATGCCAAAAATGCGATGTTTCAGGCGGCGGAAGTGGTTTAATGTTAATGAAGAGCGGCAGAGGGCAGCTCGTGCTAATCCACAACGGTCACATCTACACACTCTTCGATAAGCGGGAAAGCCGCAGCGTCTGGGTGTGCGTGAAAAAGAAAACCTTGAACTGCGAGGGCTGTCTCACCACAATGGCCGGACCAGTATTACTTTCCTACAGCGGACACAACCATCCACAGTTGCATGAGGTCATTAAAAAATTACAAGTGCCCAGTCCAGGAGTTTCTCCCGAATTATTGTAACCTGTACCTGTACGATTTGTAGGTCACGTTTTTAGGAAATCACTGTTTAGTCATGGATGGAACAAGGTATGCCAAAGAAATGTTTAGGTTTTACTGGGTGGCTCAAACGTTGTGGTTTGAATTTTTTATAATTTTTGTTATTAAAATTAAACTAAAAATATATATTTTTTAAATACAGTACAGTTTATATGCCATATATATATAATATATGGGGATATCCAAGTTTTACGTAATTGCGTAAAATGCACGGATTTCATGTATAAGTAATAAAGCATTCAAACAATAACGTTTATTTTGCGCCACCCTGTATCAGAGCAAATAACTTTGATTTCTTATCGGGTTTTCCCAAAAGCAACTATTTACGAAGTTCAGTTGATACAGTGTACTTACATAATACAGATAAAGGAACACTTTTTATGATTTTCTACATTTTTATATAAATCGACATTGGAACATATTTGTGCGCCACACCATTTATATCAAATCGTGTTAAATGTTTACTTGTGTACTTTATTTTCAAATCACTGGATAGTTTTTAATAACACTTCGTCTGTTTTCAATCAATAACAAATATATGTATACATTAGGGTGGTGCGAAATATGAATATTTTTAAAATTGAAAACGCCTGTATATAGAAAACTTGCGTGTGATAAATATAAATATTTTTTGAATTCCTTCCATCGCCGCATAGGCGAGGGTAGAAAACGGTTAAAAACAATTTTTTTTTAAGCCAAGATTGTTTTAGAGCTTAACTATAATTTGGCACATTGATTTAAAAAAAACAAGCTAAATGGGGGCCCCCGGTTAATTTTAAAAATATAAATATTTTCATATTTGACATTGATCGGGCGTTCGCTCATTTTGCTTGTTTATTTTTTGAAAATTAAGGTGCTCAGCTTTGGAAAACTTACTCATACTCAAAATAAACAACTTTTGTATGTTTATGTTACTACCGTTTTTTGCCCCAGCTCAAATATTATAAATTTTTATGTTTGCTCTGGGGCAGTGAAAGGATTTTTTGTTTAAATAATATTTTCACCAAAATGTTTATTTTGTACATCAGTAACTTTTCCAAAATTGGACACTTTCATTTTCAAAGAAGACAAACCAAATTGGCAGATCCCATTAACTAGTTTTTTTTTTAATTTAAATTACTTACCTAATTTTGTAAAAGTTAATTAAGCTAAAAAACATCTTGGCCCAAAAAAAAATTAAACCGTTTTCCACCTCCGTTTGAATATTATAATTTTTATATTTAAGATGGCTTTGTGGCGGTGGAAGGAATTTAAAAAAATATTTTTTTCACCAAAATGTATATTTTTACCGTACACAAGTATTCTATATACAGGCCTTTTCAATTTTAAAAATATTCATATTTTGCACCACCCTAATATATTTTATTAGGTTGTTAAATTAAAAATGTTATTTTTTGAAATATTGGTAAATTTTATCAGGCTAAATTTTTATGTTTACTTGGAAACAGACTCTGTGTTATAATAATTATCTAGATCAGTTTTTTCGCAATGTACAGATAGTTGCTAAATGACCCATTGTTAATTTAGGTACCTGTTAAAACAAGGAATATTTTGCATTTAAAGTCACAATACGCAATAATTTATTACCCCTTTCTAACATTTAGGTAACAAAACCAAATATGCCATATTATAAATTATTTTTAAAACTAGTTTTGTTACTTAACGTTTCCGACTGAAATGTTTAGTTTGACACTATGTATTAAGCTTAATTTGCCTTATAAAATATATTTATTTATGTTTATTTTTTTAAGGATTACACCAAATATATTTATTTTAGTTTATATTTTCTAAAGAATTATGTTTATTTCTAAAACATTAGGATTTAATTTTTGTTAAAAGGTGCAATATTCATCTATTTTTTATGAGAGTTTGACTGTTTGATTGTTATTACTAAAGATATTTTGTATTACTGTTTTTCATAATAAATCAGAATTAAAAATGTATTCAATTTTACTTATTTTTTAATTATTAGCTATTTTCGCGAAGCTAATCCCGAACTCATTCCAGACATCCTAGGCATGCGCTTTTTAAAATTTGGGGTTCAAAATGTAAAGTGCGCATGATAAATATTAAAATGCGCATGCCTAGGATGTCCGAACTAGTTCGGGATTAGCACCGCGAAAACACCTATTATAACCCAATTGGACACAAATCGTCACGGTTTCGTCACGTTGTGCTACCTGGGAAAGGGTTTATCACGCAGAAACAAGCATCAAACTTTTACTGGATTATCAATTTTTTTTAGAAGAATACCATACTACGAGCCCTAACCACATAATGTTCGGACACTTCATAATTTATACAGAAATTTTTTTCGTGAATACTATCTCAAAATTATTAGAAGTTATGAAAAATTCAGCTTATTTTGGCATATACCCCTCGAAGCGATTTTTATTTTTAAAAAGTTTACCTTTTATTTTTAGCTTTTAAAAAAAGGCTAACTTTTTAACTTTTTTTTGCATGAGTAAAAAAAGTTATAAATGGGCCCATTAAAAAGAACATAAAATATTATACAAACCCTGAAAATTTGGTAAAAATTGTATAAATAATAAGAAAGTTATAGCGATATATATATCTGCAAAATCTCCCGTTTCCTAAGAAAATTGCAAAAACTCTTTAAAAATAGCATTTTTAAATTACTTATACTTTTTTATAACTTATTTATTTTTTACCAAATTTTCAGGGTTTGTATAATATTTTATGCTCTTTTTAATGGGTCCATTTATAACTTTTTTTACTCATACAAAAAAAAGTTAAAAAGTTAGCCTTTTTTTAAAAGCTAAAAATAAAAGGTAAACTTTTTAAAAATAAAAATCGCTTCGAGGGGTATATGCCAAAATAAGCTGAATTTTTCATAACTTCTAATAATTTTGAGATAGTATTCACGAAAAAAATTTCTGTATAAATTATGAAGTGTCCGAACATTATGTGGTTAGGGCTCGTACAACAATCTTGTTTTTAAAAAGTTTGCAAAATATAAGCACTATCTTAATATATAATTCTTCTGTGCGTGTGCACTACGCATGTGTAGAAACAGACTGGTTTTAATAAAGAATTTGTAAAAATATATGGAAATAACTAAGAGATGGATCGGATGATTGAAAAATTCTGTGTATGAAGCCATGGATGACATGGTTCTATAAAAATTAATAATAATAAAGAATATATAAATGATTCAAGGAATGAGTTAATCTCAGATTCTTTTAAATAAGACCCTTGATCAAAATAAAGAAAATTTAAAAAAAATTACAGCTGGCTGAATCTTGGAAGGGAAAGGCCAAAACACTCAGAAGAAGAAGAAGATCCTTATTAAATTAAAACAGGACAGATAACTTTGACCTATATCACGAGCTACACAGGAGGGGGGTGGTTAGACCATTTAACATGGCCGTGGTCTTCTTCTTCTTCCTGTAACTCCTTCTGGAGCAAAGGGCACCTGTAAAGGTGTTTCTAGGGCTTTCTATGGTCAAAGTGAAGCATCGCCATTACATCGTTTTTATTAGTTCCTTCCACGTTTGTCTGTTCTTTGCCAATGGCAAATTGCCATGTTCGTTGCTTCTGTCCATGTTAAACCTTGTTTTTGAGGTTCTTCATTTATTGTTCTTCTCCATGTGTTATTTGGCCTGCCTGTTCTTCTTGTGCTTGTCTTGCTATGCTTTTATTATTTTTTCTTAGTGTGTGTCCTATCCATTTTCATCTACTTTTTCTAATTGTTCTTTCCACTTTTTCTTCTTCTGTAGTTCGGTGCAATTCTTCGTTTGTTATAATATTTGGCCAGAATATACCGATAAACTTTAGTGTATCTCTGTGTGATATCGTAGAAAATGTAAATAGCTTTATAAAAATAAACTTAAAAGACTCAAATACCAATATATGTGCAATATACAGACAAAACCAAAGTGACACAGACATATTCAACCAGTATCTAGAAGAAAACATTTTACAAACAAAAAACTTAATAATCGTGGGTGACATAAACCTCAACCTATTACATAAAAATAAGCAAAAAGAGAGACTATAAAAACCTGTTAAAAAGCAATAACATAAAAATAATAAACAAAATTACTAGGAAACACATAACAAGAATAAATGAAAATGGAGAAAGTACAATAATAGATCATGTACTAACAAATCTCAATGCAAATTGTTTTTCTGAACTAAATCTAACGGATACGCCGCTAAGTGACCACAAATGTATTAAGTTTGAAGTCAAAATAAAATCAAAAAAGGCAGTACAAAATAAAAATTATAATCATATTCGAACAAACTATAAACAATTAAAAGATAAACTAATAGCTGAATTAAATCATATGGAAGTAAACTCTTTTGAAGAATTGCAGAAGAAAATTAAAAAAACGCTATCAGAAAGCACAACAACTAAAATAAAAAAGAAGGATGGATGACGTATATACTCAAAAATCAAACAAAGAAATACCTGGTACACTAAAATGGTCAAAAATAGGGATTCAATTTACTGTAAACAAAAATTCAAGGAACATGATAAAGACACAAAAAAAAGTATTAAAATGGCAAAGGGAAATTTCTAAAAAAATCAAATAAAGAGTGCAGAAGGAAATAATAAAAAACTGTGGACTATTATTAAAAATCTAGAAAACGGAGAAACACTTAAGGCAAATGACATCAAAGAACTAACAACTGAAAGTGGAAATAATACCTCGAGTAAAAAACAAATAGCGACAACTTTAAATAACTATTTTATTAATGTAGGTGAGAACCTCGCTAAGAAAATAAACGTAGAAAATCTTGGAAAGGATGAAAAAAAGTACGCGGCCACATCATCCATGTATATGCAACCGACAACATATAATGAGGTAATAAGAACGATCAACAAACTTAAATCAAACTCCGCAGCAGGTTATGATAATATTAAACCAAAACCAATAAAAGAACTAAAAAACATTATTGCACCAATCATAACAAAATTAATAAACAACTATTTTAAACTAGGAGTTTTCCCGGAAGAATTAAAAATTGCTAGAATCACACCTGTTCACAAATCTGCAGACCATGGTAAAGAAACGGATCCCAGCAACTATCGACCAATCGCAAATTTAACTGTATTTAGCAAAATATTTGAAACAATACTACACAATAGACTGGCAACGCACATACAAAATTTAAACATACTTTCAAAGGCACAGCATGGTTTCCAGAAGCAAAAAAGCACCAATTGTTTTAAAACAGCTATGGCAAATCTATTAAATTTCATACAAACTAAAATGGATGAAGGAAAATGTGTAACTGCTCTTATATTAGACTTTAAAAAGGCGTTTGACACAGTAGAACCGTCAATATTAATAAAAAAATTAAAACAAATGGGAGTGGCAGGGAAAGCGCTTGAACTGTTCAGATCTTATATAACAAATAGAAAGCAGTACACAAAAGTTGGAAGTGAAGTCAGTGAATGGGAAAATATAAATTTTGGGGTACCCCAAGGATCCATTTTGGGTCCTTACCTATACTTATTATATATAAATGACCTGGATCTGTACAATTTTTCTGGTAAAATAATGATATATGCGGATGATACTGCGTTTTTCTATGTAAATAATGACAACAAAACAACGCAAGAACAAATTCAAAATGACATTAACAAACAAACACAAACAAATTAACGATAAACAGCAAAAAATGTTATCTGATACATTTTGAAAACAAAATAAAAAACCATAACCTAAATATAAAAATCGGAAATGATGCTATTAGCGAAGAAACAAAAATTAAATACTTAGGTCTTATTCTTGACAAAAATTTAAAGTGGACATCACACATAAGAGCTCAAAACAAAAAAATGGCATATTATAATGGACTAGCGCATAAGGTAGCTGATGTACTGCAGGAAAAGGAAAGGAAACTGATATATGAAGCCTATATTAAAAGCAAGCTGACTTACCTAATATCATTCTGGGCAACAGGAAACAAAAAAGATTTAGACAAATTGCAAAGAAGCCAAAATAAACTATTAAAAGCTTTGCACAGACTACCAAGGCATACTGCAACAACCGTAAAACAAAAACCTTAACAATAGAAGAACTTAGAAAGCTGGAGACCATAAAATTGGTAAGAAAAATTTTAAACAAACAAATCCAAGACGAAGATATAGAAATAACAACAAGAGCCGACGTACATCAATACAGCACCAGAGGAAATCAAGAACTAAATTTTGCCACACATAAAACCAAAATAGGCGAGAAACGAATGCTTACAGAAGGCATCAAAATATACAACAAATTACCAAACGAGATCAAACAGCAAAATGAAACAGAGTTTGTTAAGAGTGTCAAGCAATATTTAGTGGACCAAAGACAAGAAGACCCATGTATAATTTAATTATCTATTGCTAAATGTTAATTTTAAATCTATTTGTAAATTACATATCTGTCAAAGCCCATTTCGGCTATTTGGATATTACTTTTCAATAAAAAAAAAATATATAATTCTTAGACATTTATTGATAAAGGTTTGAATTTTTCCTATGCTAGCACAATTTTTCCATGTTTCTGCACCATATAATAAAATGCTTTTTATATTTGATCTAAGTATTCTAATTTTGTTTTTTCTGGATAGGATTGTTATTGCCCATATTTTGTTTAGGCTTTTAAAAGATTTCTGTGCTAGAGAAAGTCTTCTTTCTATATCCTTTTCGGTTCCGCCTTCCAAACTAATTATACTTTCCAGATAACATAATTCCTTTACTTCTTCTATTTCTTTATCGTCCATAATTATCCTGTCTTCGGCTTCATTGTTTGTTAGCAGTTTCGTCTTTTTTGCGTTAATTTTTAGACCTTCTATCTGTGCGTTTTTTTCTAGACTTTTGGTTTTATCTTGTACATGCTTTTTTCTCTGGTTGTGGTCTTACAAAAGGCTAACAGCAAGATATGGAAATGGAAATATAGCAGATATAGGAGCGGAAATATAAAAAATAGCAAAGCAAATTAAAAAAAATAGTAAAATAGCAATATTAGTGTACCATTACACAGACAATGTAACACAAATGCCCAATCTTCATGCAGACACCACCAAGGCCAACATAAGAAAAGGGGAAGCCATAGGAATTCCTAGACTCACCTTCTCCATCTACCCAGGGAAAATAAAGGAGTTCATCTAACTAAATCCCAGAAGGAAAAGGCCAAAACACTCAGAAGAAGAAGATCCTTATTAAATTATTCTCTCTATGGTCCATGTCTTACAAAATACAATGCTTCCCGAATCCAAAAGTTGCAAAATCGCTGCCTTAGATTAGATTTGGCATAAGGAAATATGATAGAATGAGCTACTCTTATAAATAATAAGTGGTTAAACATGGAAAACAGGCGCAAAATGCATTTAATTTGTTTTTTAAAACTTCCTAAAACTAAGGCACCAGGCTACTTACACCGAAACGAGTAAATATTTGCAAGAAATGGCTCTGTAAATTGGAAGGTGGGAATGTAAATTTGAAACCACACAAAATCACAAGTTTACAGCAACAATCTGGACTTGATGCCAAAGCCAAAGTTTTAATTGGTGAACCAATCACCCTGTATAAACAGCCGCAGTCACTTAAATGATATTTTGATCAAATCACAAATTTCATAAAATACTTAAACACTATTAAATTCGGACACGTAAAGTGGAGTTTACAAATGCATGGATTTACTGGCGCCAATGAAAACTGGCTCCCCAATAAAATTACGTGTAGTTTTCTCTTGAACTCAATTTTGCGCCAATTTTTATTAGCGCCAGTAAATCCATGCATGCGTTTATTGTTAAAGCCCTTAGTTTTGGTGTGTAAATAAAAGCCAATTTCTTGTTTATATGTATAATTGATAATCAAAGCATCAGTTTAGACTAGAAATATAAAATTTTGAGCAATATCTAACATAGATTAAATTTTACTTAAAATGGATGTAATATATACAATACTGGCCCAATACTTATTTTACCTTTTATTCTGGACTTCAAAGCCAAAGAGTTTAAGTTTACTTTTTTTTTAATTTTGAGGTATAGTATATTTGAAAAAAATAATAGAATACCTACATTAGGGTGAGCCAAAAAAACTAACCTATCGGATTTATGGGTTAAAATGAACCTACATACCGAGCAAAAAATTTCCCTGCAAGGCAAAATTTTTTGCTCAATTTTAAAAGGTGTCGATGAGCATTTTAAGTTTTCCATTGAAATAACACGTAAAAAAATCTTTTTTCATTAAAAAGACTACCTATAACTTTTGAACCGTTTGAGATACAATTTTTTACGTCGCGGATTCTTGTAGAGCATAAAATTTCCCAAAGAATCTATACCATGATTATTTTTTTTAATTCAAAAATTCGTATGTTTGAAAGCTTTGAAAAGTGTAAAAAATCACTACTGCAGTTTGTAGTGATTTTTTACACTTTTCAAAGCTTTCAAACATACGAATTTTTGAATTAAAAAAAATAATCCTGGTATAGATTCTTTGAGAAATTGTATGCTCTACAAGAATCCGCGACGTAAAAAATTTTATCTCAAACGGTTCAAAAGTTATAGTCTTTTTAATGAAAAAAGATTTTTTACGTGTTATTTCAATGGAAAACTTAGAATGCTCACCGACACCTTTTAAAATTGAGCAAAAAATTTTGCCTTGCAGGGAAATTTTTTGCTCGGTATGTAGGTTCATTTTAACCCATAAATCCGATAGGTTAGTTTTTTTGGCTCACCCTAACCTACATTATAACTTTAAAAAAGAACTCAATACTCGTTTAAGGTCCAGAATATAGCCCAGTCAAATTAGGGTTTTACTTTAGAGAAAAACCCCAGTTAAGTTTTTTTTTGGAATCTTAAAGATTAAATCAATTTTGTTTATATGGGCACCAGTAATAGTCCCAAGCGAAACCGAGTCAGCGTTGCAAATATCGAAGGTCAAAGGTCAGGTCTCGTAAACTATATGATTTGACGTAAATTTTGGTTCCTGGGTAAATCTAACATAAACAAAATTACATACCTACGACTAGTAATTCTCGAGATATAAGGATTAGAAATTTTTAAGACAAATACTCCACTATACGCTTTAGGGTAGTAAGGAAATGGATGCATTGCAACTTTTCTTAGTCTCATATCTCGAAAACTATTAGGCCAACGTAAATTTTTAACCATTTTTATGTGGAGTTACACCAGAAACAAAATTTTAATAACCAATATGCCCGTAAAGCCAATAGTACGAGATAATAAAAAAAAACTATTTCGTGACCTTTGACCTTTGATATTTGCAACGCAGACACGATATTGCTTGTCACTTTTGAGACTTTGTTACTATAATACCCATATAAAGAAGATTCCGAAGAAAATGGATTTTTTTCGAAGATTTTTCGCCTAATTTAACTGGGCTATATGAAATTTAAAAACAATATCAACCTTAATATAATAAATGCAGATTGTCTTGTTTATATATTATATAAATACAAAAAGTATTTAAACTGGTCTTCATCTGTAACACAATAGTTAAACCTACTTACAATAGTTATTTTTAATGTAAATGATCCATAATTCTGAAAAAATAAAACGAATAAGTTGGACTAATAAAAGTTAATTAGCTTAAGCTAAATGATCTTTACATTAGTTAATGAATTAATTTAATTTTATGTTTATTAAAATGTAGAGGGTATACCCAATACAAATAATCATGACTTTCTTAAAAAATAATTTAACGATTTATATTTTTATCATTTTAAATTGCATTGCGTCAGTCTTTGTTGGAATAGTTCTATAGAAAATGTTAAGGTGGGATGGAATTTCAATTCCATGTTTTTTATAAATAATGTTCAGTCGTTTTTGTACTGGCAGCATTATAACACATTTAAAATACAATACAAATAAAATAAATTTCTTATCTAATGATTTTTAACATCACAGTCCAATTTAAAATAATTTAAATTACATTTTATTTCATCAAACATCATTATAAATTCAACACTTATCGTAAAATTAAACAATAACTTAAAAATTAATACATATTTCATTTTAAATGATATGATAAATTCAAAAATAAACAGGTTATTATTGATATTAGGGATTAGTTCAGAAAAAGCACATGAGTTAATTTGGTTAAGTTACGAAACTTATTAAAAACATATAATTCTCAACCAACCGTGCAAATAACTCCCTGCGAACTTTTACAGTAAATTTGTTGGCCACAACAAGCGTGGAAGCGGCCGCAAATGACAAATTATACAGCAACACTATTTGAAAGTTGCCCAGCCATTCAATACTACCAAAATCTCCCAAAAGATCAAAATTCGTGATACCTAAAACAATTAAAAATTAGTTTTATTTGGCAGAAGAGTAGAAATTTTCCAAATGGGCCTAGAATTTTTCAAAAAATTAAAACTAAGTATTGGAAAATAATTAACATCTAGTCCCGTTACACAAATTTTTAAGAAATTTTCATTTGTCCATTAACAACGTGCGATTGAACATTTCTGCGTATTTTGATTATCTCGTTTTTATAATAATTTAATTTTTAACTTATATGTTATGTTATGTTATGCCACTGAATTAAAATTTGTTCAGGATCAAGAATACTACAAAAAAAATGTTCAAATCTCATACTGCAATCTTTATTAGTTTTTTATTAATTAATTTTTGCCACTTTTTCTGAATCTTATGCGTTTAGACTACCCAGTAGTACTAGTAGTACCGGACCATTACTTAAAAAAAATCCAATTTCGTATGGAGAACAGAGGGCAAAATCGGAATTTGTTTATTAAAAAATGTATATATATATATATATATATATATATATATATATATATATATATATATACAGGGCGTCCCATAATTAGCGTGCAATACTTTAACAGCAGATTCTACGTACAAAAATAAGAAAAAAAGTTCCTATAAACATAGGCCAAGAAATGCTTTCTAAGCCCCTAAAAGAGGAGATCCTGAAGATGGTTTTTATTTAATATATCCAAAACCGTTCAAGATAGAAAAGAAAAATTTTGGGAGTTAATTAAACTTTTTATGGCCAATAAGATGTAATAATAACAATTCAAAATTTCCAGGGGGTTAGATAGATAGAGAATAGGGGTTAAAACCATCCTAACTTTTTTGTATGTGTCTCGTGCTAGAATTTAATGTCAGATTATACAATTTCGGAGTTTTTCACACAAAAAAGGTCCTCTTGTTACACTTTGATATTATCCACTGTTTTCGCTTAAAATCCATTTAAAAATTACCTTACATAGCATAAAAGATCTTAATAAATTCACAAGAGAGAAAAATTCAGCGTAGGTCATGGAACACAGCTGCCATCTTTAGGAAAAATTATTTAAGACAGGTAACAGTTTCATGTAATATGCGAGAGGCCATGGCCTACGCTGAATCTTTTTCTCTAGTTGTGATTTCATTATGAATTTTTATGCTATGTAAGGTAATTTTTAAATCGATTTAAAGTTCATCAAGAGGACCTTTTTTATGGGTAAAACTCTGAAATTTTATGATCTGATATCAAATCATAGCACAAGATACGTACAAAAAAATTAGGGTAGTTTTACCCCCACTCCTAAGTTGGATTATATCCCAAAATTTCATTTTTCTATCTTAAACGGTGTTGGGGATATTAAATAAAAACCATCTTCAGAGGCTGTAGCTCCCTTGGAAAGCATTTCTCGACCTATTTTTATAGGAACTTTTTTTCTTATTTTTGTAAGTAGAATCTGTTTTTAAAGTATTGCACGCTAATTATGGGACAGCCTGTATATTGGCAACAATGGCGAATAGCATACATTTCTAAACATCTTCTAAAATTTACATCCATTTTTTATAAATAGTTAACGAGATAATAAAGTTTCTATTAAACCGTGCATAAATGTCCAATCGCACGTTGTAGAGTGGTTTAAAAACTCAAAAACCCGGACATCGATCAAATTTAAGTCATATATGGGCAATTATCCAGAAATCGGAAATCGCGATAAAACATATTTACTGCTGTCGTTATTAAAATTGATTTAAATTTAATATAAAATCGAGAAAATATTTTAAATCGCCGTGTTTCACAAAACATATTGTTTTATAGTTATCTCGAATGCAGTAAAAATTACGTCAATCGCTGCACCAACAAAAAAGTAAATAACAATGGAAATACTATTTTTTTATTATTGCACAAGGTGTTTAGTTAAAAACCTATATTAATATACAATGACAGTTAAGTACACATTTTTTGCAACTTCGAGTTTTAGCAATGTTGCTAATTAACTGTTCAGTTAATTATCGATGTAACGTTCTAACAAAAGTTGTCTGTAGTCTTTAACAAAATGTAATGCAACGAAATTTTTATTTTTTCTCAAATACTGGGAATAAAATTCCTTTTTTTGTGATGTATTAAACACATGTGTAACGTTCCAACGCAACCAAAGTTAAATTTTTAGCGATTTAGCATTTAATGATTTTAATTAGTTTCGGCCATAGATACTGGAGAAAGTATAGTCGACGTATCAAGTTAGGTATACTGTTATACAGGGCTTCCCAAAAGTGAAGAAAAAAATAAAAAATTTGGGGATCACTATAGGATTAAAAAAACTACATTCTTAGATAGTTTATAACTTCCATGGAATGTGGGGGAATGAACAACATTTTAAATAGCAACCCCTGTCGAGTTTCACCTTATTTTAAAGGTAATGAAAAAAAACACATCCCCATAAACCAAATCCTGATATCTTAATTGTTTCATCTTATGAGGGGTTGGCTAATAAACAAAAGTTCAAAACGAAGACCACGCCCAGAGTAGAAAGTATTAACTCGTTTGGTAGATTAATAAACAATGTATTGATTTAATTTTATTAAGATGTCTTAAAAACCATATGGTTACGTTTTTCACAGAATATTGTATTATTTGTTTGAATACTTACTTCTTATTATAACCTTGAAGCATTTTCGTATACCAGCTACGTGTAACGTAACCAACATTTCGTCTAACGTAACCAACGCTATATATTTATTTGTAAAAGTGTACGTATTTTTTTTCTTCTTTTTTGACCTACCGTATATGTATATATCACAATTATCACGCTTCTATTGAACATTTTTGTTCAGTTAAATGCTCATTTTAAAGGGTTTTTAAATGTACTGAAACTCGTCCAAAAGTCCAAATTTAAAAAAAAAAAACGCAGATAGAAATGGCTGACATTTTAGAAAAAATGGCTAAATTTAATCAAAATTATGTATACAAGGTTTTTAGGTCGTTGATCGAACATTAAATATGTGTTAAAAATTCTACAAAATGAAATGTACAAAGGCATACATTTCTCGTGAAATTGATTCCTCAAGAGAGAGGGCGTGTTTCCACGAGGAACCCAAGCTGGGGCTTTTTTGGTTAATTTTTTTCTAGAAACGAAAGAATCCGAAGATACGAGGAGATGGTTAAAAACGTCTTTGAGATTATCTTTTCTGGAACACTTTCGGGCAAAATCTGTGTGATATCTCTTAATGTCTATGTTCCTTTCAGAAAACCCCCTTATAGTTTTGGAAATATTTGGAAGTGGTATAAACTCGTGTAAGATCGGTAAATATGTTTCTTATCGTGATATTGTCTGGTAACACTATGATCTTCTAGGGTATTAACTTCGTATATTTTTTTTATTTTGTCATTTTCAACCACTGTGCATTGTTATTAAACAAATGAATTTTTATAAAAAAAAAAATGTAAAACGTGACTTGATATTGATACGTAGAATGTTTTAAAGTACTAAATTTTACTTTCAACATCAAAAATCGTAGGCTCATTTGGGAAATTTCAATTTAAGATGGATTTTAACAGTGGTAAGAAGACGATGTTTTTGTCTCGCCAGCGGAGCCGTTTTTGGGAAAACATATCATTAAATAAACAAAAACTGACTTACCCAAAATTTTAGAAAGCAAAGGTAAGGCGGAACTGATGATGAGCAAAAGAGCACAATTGGCAAGGATGTAACTGAAAGGTGTACTCTTATATTTCGGTATAATTCTGTTGACAAAAGGGACCGTGTAAAGGCCAATCGAGGAAGTAACAATTAAATATATGATAAGCACTATTTCCATTGCGGCTCCGAACGGGCCCAGTTTCGACAGCGAACTGACGCCTAACGTAAATTGCTGGAAAATAAAAATGAGTTTAGGATAAAGTAAATTTCAAATTTTGAAAATTAAGTATTACCTTTGAACTGAGAGGTAACGCTCTTATTCCAATTAATAAGGAAATAGAGTTTTGTAAAACTAATAACACTACTATAATAGTCAGTCCAATGAGCAGTAACATAGCTGTTGGGTAAGACATACTTCTTATGAAAAAGGAAGTATTTCTTTCATAATCTGTAAATAAATAAAAACATAATTTAAAAATAATACAAAATTGGAAATCCGGAATTATTCATTTCAACCAATAGGATTGGATATTTTTTCGTTTTCTCCTATTTAGTTTGAACTAATTTTATTAGACAACAACGGACACTGGGTTTAAAACTAAAGATAAGGATATACTCACAATCCACACCACAAGGTACTAAATTTGTCTCGTACTAAAAATTTGTATTTCACTGCAACACTGCACAGAGTTTAACGGCGGCCATTTTTGTTGTTTACAATTCTTGTGCTTTGGGTTTGTGCTTTGTTTGCACAGATTAATAATCGTTTTAAACTTTGCGTTTCTTACAGAGGCACATGTAAGCCTTAAAAGAGGCCTTAGTGCTAAGAATAGTATATTCTGTAACAAGTTTGGAATAAAGCATATTCCGCTCGAGTGAAGAGTTTGTCACACAAAAGAGGAGTACAATGATTTTTTTCTACTCCTATTAAGGAATTTGACCGTTCTATTATCACTTTTTTCTATGGAATGACATAAATTCCGTAGTGTTACAGAATGAAATATTCTATAATCCTATGACAGAATAAACACTCGTGGCGACATCTCTGTTTTTAATATCTAACAAATTTTAGACCGATCCAACCTCACTTTCTTCCAATCAAATGACTTTTCTATGGTATTTTTTGGAAACGTAGAAAAAGTATAGTCAGAAACACGTTTGGAATTGCATATTTTGCTCTCGTGAAACCGTCAAACTCGCCTTCGGCTCATGTGACAAACTCTTCACTCGAGCGGAATATGCTGTATTCCAAACTTGTTACAGAATATACTATTACTCTTCTTTTGTAAAAAATAAATCTTATTCTATCAGGGCTGTTATCAAACTTTCAAATGTCAATTTTAAGATTAATTTGTGGGTTATGGTAAAATTAACCTTAAAATTGACATTTGACAGATGACAGCCCTGATAGAATTAGGTTTATTTTTTACAAAAGAGGAGATAATAAATCATAAAATGGTAAAATGGTTGGGTTGGCCTCTTTTAAGGCTTACAATTGTAAGCCTTAAAAGAGATATGATATGATATTCCATCATTCCGAGTCGTATCTTCTTAGAAGATTCTTAGAATCAAATTTTGCTATCAGGCACTTAAGTGCCTCTATAAGAAACACAACGTTTAAAACGATTATTAATCTGCAAGAATAGCACAAACCCAAAGCACAAGAATAATTCCATTATTGTAAACAACCAAAATGGCCGCCATTAAACTCTGTGCAGTGTTGCAGTGATTTTTATTGTTTTTAGTACGAGATAGGACAGACCTTATTGTGTGGACTGTGGATATACCTATATTATGATAGTGTCCACGCGCATCTTGCACAGTGTTTTTATATGTGGTAAATAAGTTTTTTGGATATTTTTTGTGTATGTTTTGTTATCTTATAATATTATAAACAATGGTTTAATAATTAAATAAATACGTATAACGCAAATGCATTAAAAATAGGAAAAAACTATCTTCAAAATGTAAATAATTTATCTAAAAAAGTAGATTTTGTTAAAAACTCTTTTTGAGATGCAAAATTTATTTTTAAATAAGAACACTCAATAAAAACATAAAATAAATGTCCAGTATAAGAAATCTATAAATTATAAAAATTATAAAGTAAAATAATTATATTTTTATTTTATAGGTACCAATTTATATTTTAATAAGATTTTGTGTAAATTACTGTTTTTTATTTTTCATTTGGTTTTTAAAAGTTAAAAATTTAAGATATTATTTTGTGTAAAGATAAATAAATAAAGATAAATAATTTGGCTAAAGAAATATATTTATCTGATGAAGCGTAAAGAACACTGCCCTAAAACTATTTTATTACATTAATTATCCTTAAATATAAATTATGTTGAGATGAAAGAGTTATTATTAAAAATGCAATATTTCGTTGAACTCTAAAATTATTTTTTTAACAATTTAGTTTTTTTAAAGCAAAATTTTTAAAAATTACCTACCTAGTGCTAGGAATTTATTTTTTATGAGCTTAAATTTAAAAAAAAAGTTATACTAAGCGAAAAAAGAGAAAATAAGGCAATTTTATGTGAACATTGACCCCTAAAACACCATTTTATTGCATTAAATATTCATAAATATTAATTATTTTAAGATGAAAAACTTTTTCACAAAATTTACAATAAAATTTATTTTTAATTTTGGTTTAAAAATAATTGTTAAATTAATAATGTTAATTGGTAAGAAGCAAAAGTGTACAAGTGCATTTTAGCATGTGTTTTTTGTTTTTGTGTTTTCTCTTTTTTTATATTTACATTCTCACCTATCCTGTAATTGGGCACCAGCCTGTTGGATTTGTAATTGAAATAAAGAAATAAATGAAATAAAATAAGTGCAGAATTGGGTAGTTTAGAGGCAATTTTTTTTTAATTTCTCATAACGTGAAAATTGTACGAGTTTTGCATGTTGATTAATGTAAACAACAATATTGAAACCAGAATTCAGATTTTAAAGTTAATAACGTCACTTCTCTTTTTTGCACTTGTACCCTTTTATTTCTTACCCCTTAAAATGGTAAACCAAAATTTACAATAAAATGAATACTCCTTAAACTGTTTTATTTAATTTTTTAATTTTAAATGCAAATATCTTTTAAGTATTATTTAAAGTGCCATTATACCCATTTTATTCTAAAGCCCTTAATTGAAATTCACAGAAATTTTTCGACTAAATCAAATAGGACTACACTTATTTAATTATTATTATAATTAATATGGGGACCATCCATAAATCTTGTGACCCTAAAAATAGTCAAAATTTACCCTTACCCCTTTCTTATAGCAAAATATGACGATGTGAAGACCCCCCAAGTCATAAGACAAATGATTAAACCAGGGGGGAATATTTATACAGTAAAAATTGTTTTGAGAAAAAAAATATTTTGATTTATTTTTTACTTTTTGTACAAATAAGCAATTTCATTCGATTTACTTTGTCAAGTGACGTTTTGAAAAACCCTCCCCCCGGGCGTGTCAAATTGTGACGGTCGGATATGTTTAATTGTTTAGGTTTCCATAAAAAATTAACATTTCATTTATTTGATTTATTAATATCATTTTCATTAGTTACATCTGAAATTGTGACATTTGTTTCTAAAGTAGAAACAATTGGCTTATGGCATGATAAATACGAAATATTTACCCTTAATCAAGATTTTGAGCTTTAAAGCTTTTTGAAACTTTCAAGCTATTTTTAAGATAAACATTTAAAAAAGTTCAAAAATTTGGAAATTTGTTCTACCATTTTTATATTTATACTATTGTGCAAATTTTGTTCTACTATTCATATACAACGCAGGCATGTGGGCGCGCCGCACCGGCAGGTATTTTGAGCTAAAACGTGGCCAAAACTCAATTTCGTTAATTTTTATTACTAGATCCAAGATTGTTCGCGGTACCAACAGCTAGAACTTAGCGCTCCTTTAAATCGTACGTCTTCGTTTGCGACACTCCACAAATACACACAATTTCGCCGTGTTGTTTCTTATGTTAAAAGTGATTTTGGTGAAAAAAGTTGATATGGATATCGTTAATCAAGGTATGTACAATATTTTAAGCAACATTTTAAACGTGTTAGAACCTTTATTTATTCATATCGAGTACTATATCCATTCAACAAAAAATATTAAATTTTTCTCGTCTTGCAACACCTCGCAACGGCATCGGACCCACGTTTTATTAAACTTCAGGACATCTAGAATAACTGTAGCCATCAAAAACATTCACAAGTTTTCAGATCACGGAAAAATTTACCCTTGAGAACAGACAATCTAGTCCGATCTTATAAGATTTTTAGGTAGATGGTCTTTTTTTTTATTTTTTAAAGGGCACTAAAAATTTAATATTTTTATTGTATTACTTGCATGTGTAGCTACTTTGTAATTTTTTTATAAATAATTTGTTAAATACATGTATTTTTTTATTTTTAGTAAAAATACCTACTATCACTTGTATACCTTTAGAATTATTATTTAGTCATTTGGTACCACAGACAAAATGGACTTGCCCTGTTCAGTATCGCTTACATGAAACCAGCGTGCCATAAATCGGGGAAGCGGAGCAAGGGAATGTATAAGAGAAGATATGTATTCTGCCAGGCCCGTATTAAATAATTTCGTACGAGCGGTATATTTTTAAAAAGTATTAAATTTATTTTGTTTTTCATTTATATATTTGTAAGTACACAAATTCGTGATAGATTTTAAACACGAAAAGACGTAATAATAATTAAATAAATTATTTATTTAAACAAATTTTAATGTAATCCTTAATAAAAAAAATAGAATAAATTATAAATTCTCTAATAAAAAAAGGCAAATTAAGCTCTTAAAATAAAAAAAATTAAAATTCTGAAAATTTTAAAATAAAAAACTGAACAAAACAGATCAATTTCGCTAAAAAGTCAGAATAAATAACTCCAAATGGAATAAATTTCCACTGAAGTATTATTTTAATATTATATTTAATTTAAAATATTCCTAGTGGATTATCAAAGAAATTCATCTAGTTTTACGCTCCAGAATGAATGACGTACGGCTCTGTGCAAGGTATTGACATTCAAAATTAATAAAATCGCTTAAAATTTATCTCGTAATTACTACTTACTGGAAAAAGGAAATTGGTTGTAATTGGCTGGAACTAGTTTCACTTCGACTAGGACACACTTTGACAACACATTTACCCATAATGTTCAAAGAATTAAACATAAATAATATATCCTCACAGGTCAACTGCTCAAATATGAATGATGCGAACTGGAAAACAGGCACCCGTTCAGGCACCCGCCCGGCCGTATCATTTTCTTCCTAAGGCAAGTCTATTTTGTCTGTGTTTGGTACCCTTTTGATACAGAAAAAGTGCCCAAATATGTTTGGCCACGCTTTAGGTCAAAATATTATTGAAGTTGAATTAAAAAGAGATTCGCCAAAACAACAACAATCTAATGTAGAAAACAATGTAACGGTTTCCTTACCCAGCATTTTCCGTTTAAATTCGAACCGACTCAGCCGACCGCCGAGCTCGTGCTGCAGCCGGCCGTTGCCGAGCCGCGTCAGGTCGTCGGCGGGCGTCATAGGGGGCGGCAACTTGTAGCCCGTGCGGGCGTACTGCGCGCGCCGCAGCCTGCTGCGCAGGTACTCCTCCTCCAGCGCGCACGCGTCGTACTCCTCGTTGATGTCGCGCGGCTTGATCAACAAGCCGCCGACCACGTCGAAAAGCCGAACGAAGCCGATCGGGGTGCAAACTAATAAGAGAGAAACAGTTCGTAATAGAGTCGAGCCACGTCAAGTGGGACCAGAAAATTTCACGAAATCACCGATTTTGAAAATATTCACATTATTGTGTAGTAGGCATGACGCATATGTCACAGTAAAAAATTTGTTTTAAAATTTGGTTTGGAGTTCGATTTTATTCTTCAACGGCTGTACATCGCTCCATGAAAATAGTTGACTTTGACCCAGGAAGGATAAAATGGGGTTACCGGTATAGAAATATACCGGTATTTCTCGACAATATCGCAAGCTTTGACCTTTCTGTGGATGTTTCAAGATTTGAAATTCCACGTCCGTGAGTCGATGGCTTCGAGAAGCTCAAGGACGTAAAAACTTGTAACTGGGCAGTAAGAGCCTAATTGGCTCAAGTCCAATTCTCTCGAAAGAGAATAAAAAGTATAGAAGAAGAAGAAGATTCGGTTTTTTGGTAATGTTATTAGAGCACGGTAAAATTGAAAAATTAGAATCTCTGGGACCACTCTGTATAATTGAATAAAATTTTACACACTATTTTAGCCTATTAAATTACCATTTAATTAAGGTAAATTTGTCGGGTTTTATTTTTTTTATGTAGTCAGGGGTGCTGATAATGAATTAAGAATATTCCCCAAAAATTTCTTTCCGCGTCCCGTAATTTCATCCCCCGAAAGGGGAGTTTTTTAAAAAACTTTTTTTGCTTTTTGGCTCATAACTCGCTAACCGTGCATTTTTGTTTTTTTTATTATAGTCCAATTTTAAAAGTAATCGATACCAAACCTTACGGTAATCAAACATTACCGAATGGACGATTTTTTGAGGTACTAGACTTTTTTCAAAAAATACACTTTTCAATGTACAGGGGGTTCTTTTTTCTAAAAACCCATTTTTTATTTCCCAAACGGCTTTAATGAGCCAGTTCGTTCTACCTTATATTTTTAGGTACACTTATCCTCGTAACGAATCCGTAGTTTTTTTTTAATTATTTTCCTGGAATACATTTATTATAATCAATTGAAATTTTTTATGTGTTCTTCACGATGAAAAAAAAATAATCTTGTGTAATAAATTGCGGAAAACGTTCCCGGTAAAAAAAGGTATTTAAAAATTTGTCCTTCATATTTCATTTCGGAGATATTAAATTTTTTGTCACGCTGTGCGCTTCGCTGCTAGTGGGACAAAAAATTTAATATCTCCGGAATGACATGAAAGACAAAATTTTGAGTAAATCTTATTAAACGGAAACATTTGCCGCATATTTTGACACAAGATTTTTTTTTTAAGTGAAAAACACTTAATTGTTTATAATAAATGTATGCAAAGTTCATTAATTTAAACAAATTTACCTTAATTAAATGATCATTCTATAGTCTAAACATAGCTACAATAGTGTGTAATTTTTTTTAAAATTACACAGAGTGGTCCCAGAGATTCTATTTTTTCAATTTTACCGTGTTCCAAAGTTTGACAAAATTATTAACTTTAATAAAATTAACAAAAAAACCGAATTTCAAAACAATTTTTTTACTGTGACATATGCGTCATGCCTACCACACAATTATGTTAATATTTTTAAAATCGGTGATTTAGGGAAATTTTCTGGTCCCACTTTGTTTGTTTTATTTTTGGTAACTTACCGAGCAAAATTAACACTCCCAAAAACGATATGCACGAATACAAGAATGGTAAATAGTAACTCCAGAAATCTAAAAAGGAGAAAATAAATACAGTCCCTGGCCAATGTATTACTCTTACATCACACAAAAATCCATTTTTAAAATAGAATCGCGTTTAAAAAGTAGCTATAATTTTTAGCCAAAATTCGGCAATTTAAAATTCCGAGAATTCACAAAATTTGTAGTTTAATTGTTTTAAAATTTCAACGCAATCAAATAAAAGATTTAAATTTATGGTCATTTTTACACCAGGCGCTTGTACGACTTGTGTACTGCACATTAATTAAAACAAAACAAAATAAACAATTTATTAATAACACAGCCCTACAAAAAAATTGTTTTGTTGCCCTGGATATTTCTGCGGATTTCTATGTTTTCAAGTCCACATTTTTCGAATATATTCATGAAAGTACTGAACTGGCTCTGGTTTTTATGATTTGGGCTTATTTTATATTTTTAATATTTCACACTTTAAGTTGGCTTTTTTGAACAAGAATTATTAAGAAGTGTTTGGTATCTTGTTAAAATTCGGTTTCTGCGCATTTATTTGGCGCATCGACACCTCACCTCCCTCCCCGCCCTCGTGCCCCTAACTCTGTGTAAATTCCCGAAAACTGAGTGAATTGACAAGGTTGGAGGTCTGGGAATCTGGGAAATTATAGTGAGGAACAGGGAGAGCGCTTCCACCAGGATCTTAAAGTGATGGAAGAAAGGTATCAGGGTAAATGGGACCGTCACATGATGGCAGATTACTGCTGGTCTTTAAAAAGAGATTGTCCTCAAAAATATAAAAAAGCTACTAAAATGCGTTTTTCTGAAGTTTACAATAAATTTTATTTATTTTTTCTTCTTTTCAACTTTTATGTATGTTAATTAAATATTAAAACAAAACATTTAATAATAATTTTCAATACAAAGTTAATATTTAAGAATATACTTGTTATGTCTTTCTCATTTTTACTGATACAAAAAATGAAAGGGAAGATTTAAAAAAACAGCCAATCTTCCAAAACAAAACAATGCGTTTTTCTGAAGTTTAAAATAAATTTTATTAATTTTTTATTCTTTTCAACTTTTATGTATGTTAATTAAATATTAAAACAAAACATTTAATAATAATTTTCAATAAAAAGTTAATATTTAAGAATATACTTGTTATGTCTTTCTCATTTTTACTGATACAAAAAATAAAAGGGAAGATTTAAAAAAAACAGCCAATCTTCCAAAACCATCCATAGTTTCGTGAATTGTTTGCATAGAGGTACCCGAAACCACTCTTACATCAAGGGCAACAAATCCACTGTTGACCATAACTACAAATTTTGACACGCACGGTTTATTTAACTGTCATTTTGACAAACAAATGCATATATAAAGCTGCAAATTTTAGAAAAATTATTAAAATCGGACAAAAATTATTCGCGTGACAGCACTTAAAATACACATCGACGAGCTGTGACCTTGTGCGTTTTAGTCAAGGTGTTGCCTAGCAACAAAGGGTTTCAGGCTTTTTAGTCACGGGCCACAATCTGTTTTTTCATCAAAATAAAGTGCCCTTGTGAAAAATTCATTTTTGTGTTCTTTCTAGAGATGTTTTTTCAGTTTGAAAAAAAAAACAAAGAAAAAAGTATTTCTTTTATTAAACATTCAATTTTCTTAGTTTCTCCAAGAAACTTTCTTGACCCATTACTGGTATTATTCAAGAGGAATTGAACATTCACCTCGCGAGAGTTTTTGTTTTGAGTGCGTCCCAACAACTTTAAATACCTTCAGCTGGTTCAATAAACTTTCTTGGAGAAACTAAGAAAATTAAATGTTTACCTTACAGTTTAGCCAGTTTGCCTAATTCTAGATTCCTTTAGGCCATATAGTATCTGTGATACAATTTGCCGTGCTTTCTTGGTTGCATAGTATGTACCGATCGCGACAAAGGCTACGTCTTTAGACAGTGTGGAGCACGTGATGTTCTTACATCTCGCCTTTGATGGCTTATTTGCATAATTGACATTTTTTAAATGACAATAAAAAATCATATTTAGAATATTGTAAGTAATTAAAATTTACGTTAAATAAATACGGTATTTCTTTACTAAAACACTCGCAGATAGATTTTTTTTATTTTTTGCTGCAATGGATTAATAAAAAAGTAAGTTTCCAATGACAAAAAAATTTAAAAACAGACATATGATACCAAGTTTGAAATAAACACAGTGTGTACAACACTTTTCACTCTGCAATTCTACTAATGCCTAATAAAAACTCGTGACTAAAATGCCGTTTGTCAAACTTTGCATAATTTACTATAACGAATTTTCAGCGTTTCTATGGCTAATTTGATTGTCAACCAAAAACAAACGTAAAAATGTACTTACTGAGTATGGTTTGAATACTGGATTTATCCTGGTCGATCACAGCCGATATCACATAGGCAAAGCCGAGCACAACGACGCCCAGCAAACAAAAAACAGTGGACGTCTCGTAAAGCCTCGCCTTTAGGCCCTTTTTATGGCCGAAAAATCCTTCGGACTCGGTAAACAGGTAGGCGAAGGGTAGCAGAACAAATATCGAGAGATTCGAAAAGAGGAACACGTAGTTCCACAGTCCTGAAATAAGGAAAAGCATTGTTTTTAAGGACATTTTTTATGCTAAAAAATATTGCACTTTGGCTTTATCATATGCGCAATTCTCTAAAAAATGGTAACGGCGAAAAAAAATCACTGCAGTCGTTATTAAAATTGGTTCAAATATGTTTCATCTTCACTTAATAAAAAATTGAAAAAATATTTTAAATCCCCGGGTTTCTTAAAGCACAAAACTTATTTTGTATTCAAATCTCAAATGCAATAAAAATGACGCCGAACAAAAAAAAATAACAATGTAAATATTTTTTTTATTGCACAAAGTATTCAGTTAATAGTATATTATTATACGAGTGATAATGCAGGCTATTATTCACTAGGATGAGGTTTGCATCTCGAGAGACTTAAATCATCCAAGTGAATAATTTCGAGTGATAATACTAAACTACTCCAACAAGTAGATAAATGATTTTCAAACAATACAATCTAACATCTGTCAAATGGTTAATCTCACTTTTTACCAATTTTAAATGTTAGTATAGTCGCCTTTTCCCAATTTAAAACAGGATTAGTTCAAATCACAGTGAATACTAAAATCAGCCAATATGCATAACAACGTGAATATTAAGTTCATTATTCCCGTTGTTAAGCAGGGAATTTATAATGTTTATCATTATCCACGAAAAAAAAACAAAAAAACCCAATATTATGCAATAGGAGTAGATAAAAATCTATATTGATATACGATAAGTATACATTTTTTGCAATTGCGAGTTTTAACAACAGTTGATTAACAATTGATTATAATAATTATTATCGATGTAACGTTCAAACAAAAAACTTTTATTCTAAGACCCTTAATTTATTTATCTGCGTTAGAAACTATTTCCATCTTTCATCAAAATATAAACAAAAGATCAAAATAATGACAACAATGGGCGATAAGAGATAGTGACAGCACCAGAAAAATTGGAGGGTGCTTAAACTACGACCACCACGTTTTTGTACGTGACCGATAATTGAAAGTGTAAAAAGTATTAACTCGCTTGGTAGATTGATAAACAAATTTTTGCTTGTAATAAAATGTATTAATTTTATTTTATTAAGATGTTTTTTATGCAATGAGTCAGAAAATTTAAATATAATTACGTTTTTCACAGTATATTGTATTATTTGATTGAATATTTACATGTTTACCTTAAAGCATTTTCGTATACGAGCAATCACTAAGTGTAACGTAACCAACGCTAAATATTTACTTGTAAAAGTCTTCGTATTTTGTCTTTCTGTATGACCTACCGTATTATCACTTAAACCCTTTAAAACAAAATTATTGCTTAAAAAACTGAAATTTCATGGGCTCCTGAAAACTTGTAACTATCCAACGCTTATAAAACCGTAATTTCTGGGCTTATATTAAAAAATTGTTCATTTTAAAGGCTTCTTACTGTCTTTAAATGTATTGAAACCGAATATCCAAAAAAATAAACATGTTATTTCGAATGTGTTAAAATTGTAACGTAACCAACAAAATAATTCCCATATATGCATAGTAATGGCTATTTTTAAGTACACTATATTGATAGAAAAGTGTATTAAATTATCCAAAAGAAAATATATAACAACAAAACATGTTATGTAGTCAACGGGTTTGCAATAGTTAAACTTTTTTAAAACAAATAATACGATTTGGGGCGACTATATATCACACACAAATATACTGGTATTGAAACAACATAAGTTTACGAAATCAACTATTGGTAATTTAAACTATTGTATTAATACATTCAAAATTACCAATAGCCGATTTTACGGACTAAATTTAAACAATAGCTTAACGCAAGAATAAAGGTAAAATTAAAAAAATAGGTTAATAATTTTATGTTTACATGTCGTCCCAATTTAATTAACTATTTTATAGAGCATTTAAAAGATTAAAAGTTTTTAGCTAATTTAGATTATTACAAAAATATGCTACTAGGCAGTACATTTAATGTTATACATAATAGCACATTTTTTTCCAAAAAATAATTTATATATATATATATATATATATATATATATATATATATATACACAGGGTGTCCCGAAATTAGGGGGCCAAACTTAAACAGTGCATTCTTTTTAGAAAAATAACACTTTTTTGTTTAATAAACATGTATATCAAAAAATGCCCCCTAACGGAGCTACGCCCCCCTAATAAGGAGCTTAAGAGCATCATTTTTTTTAAAACTATTCCTAGAGGCTTGAACATGAAGACCTGAATTTTTGGGAATTTGGTAATTTTGACATTCTGAATCTGGATCTATAATCAAAACTGTTAAAATTTAACCATAGGCCTAACATTTGAGGGGGCAAATTTACAAAAACGGCCCCAACTTTTTGCAGAGCGAGTATTTTAATGTTTTGTTATAAAATTATGTAAATGTATAGTATTTCACGAAAAATAGGTACTCTTGCTTTGAATCGCTCAGATGCACCATTTTCGAGAAAATTGCAATTTAAATTACTATGCTTAGCATAATTTCTAATATTTTCATTAAAAAGCTTTGGGACAAAAGTGACGGTTGGGTTATTTGCTGACTTTACATTTATTTTTAGAGTTTAATTAATATCTTTTGGCTCGATTTTTGATATTTTTTATTATGGAGCGATTTTTCAAATTTTAACACAAAATTTTAACGAAAATATGAGATATGTATGCTATGCAGAGTAATTTCTCGAAAATGGTGCATCTGGGCGATTCAAATCAAGACTACCTATTTTTCGTAAAAAACTAAAAGTTTACATAATTTCGATAATTTCGATAATTTCATTAAAAAAAATTAAAATATTATCTCGGAAAAAAGTTGGGGCTATTTTTATAACTTTTCCCCCCAAATGTTACGCCTATGATTAAATTTTAACAGTTTTGATCTTAGATCTTGATACAGCATCTAAAAATTACCAAAGAGACAAAATTTCATTTCTTCATGTTTAACGCTCTAGGAATAGTTTAAAAAAAACTATTCTCTTAGGCTCCTATTCAGGGGGCCGTAGCTCCGTTAGGGGGCATTTTTTGATACATGTTTATTTAACAAAAAAGTGTTTTTATGAAGAATGCACTGTTTAAGTTTGGCCCCCTAATTTCGGGACACCCTGTATATATTAGGGTGGTCGTTAAAAAATAATTTTTTTGCGACGCCCCCTAAAATGCTTCGTTTTGATGAAAAAACGCTAGGAATTTTTTTTTTAAGTTTTTAATTAAAAACAACACGTGCCTCAAGACGATCTAAGTTAATTATAAGTATAATCAATGATTATTAATCATGTCTTTTCTGAAAATATGGAATAATAATTTTTTTGAGATTTAAAAATTATTAACAATGAAATAACTTCACCTTGGAGTGAAGAAATCTAAATATTAAAATTACGTTTGTACTAATTTAGTTTTAAAATAAAAATATCTATTTGAATATCTTTAATTTTTTTATTTAATAGACTGGGAAAAATTTTGAATTTAAATTTTTGTCTATTGTTATTTCGATTAACTATTGTTTTTTTTATTGATTTGGGTTTTATAATTGTTTATATTTCGAATAAAATTTTATTTTTCATAAAAAATTCCCAAAAAACATGATTATACCAAAAAATTAACTTAGATCGTCTTGAGGCACGTGTTGTTTTTAACTAAAAAAAAATTCCTAGTGTTTTTTCACCAAAACGAAGCTTTTTAGGGGGCGTCGCAAAAAAATTAATTTTTATCGACCACCCTAATATATATATAAATATAATATATATTTTATTTTCGAGATAATAATAATAATTATTGTTAAATCGCATTATTTAAAAGGATTAAAAGGTACATGATAACAAATTTTATTTTTTAATTTAAAAAACTAAAAAGGGCATTCTATGAGCCTCGGGATTTTTTGCCCTGACCGTCACATTAAAAAAAATTGTAGTTTTTTCAATTAAAAAATTTGTTATCATATACCTTAGTCCATACCATAGTCCTTTAATGCGATATAACAATTATTGTAATCTCGAATATCTCGGAAACGGTTTATTTTATCGAAGTTTGAGAGGTACACCTTTTTAATAGTAGCCGAACTGAGTAATCCAAAAATTGCATCAAATGGTATAAAAACCTAACCTCAAAGTTTATATGGGACAAAAAGCTTAAGCAACCCCTGTTTCTACGACACTGCCCTCGAACTCGAACAATTGTAATCATGTGTGAATATGTGTTTTGGTAGTAAGTGACTGTTCGCAAAATATCACCTTTCCAAGTCTACCATAGTAGAAGTTATATTAAAAAAACTTATATGATAAGTAACACTTTATCACCCTGTATCTTTTAAACATACGCAATTAGGAAAAATATTTATTTAGATTTTCGTCCTAATTTGACTTGCTTAATCTGCTCCTAAATTTATGCCACTAAGTTTAGGGACACCTGGTATACTTTACTTGACCTCAGACAATAAAATCATGTTATTAAATACGTGATTTTATTGTATTGTTATTATAATGTTATTAGTAATAACTTCATGTGGTGATTACGTGATTTTCTAAAGATAATTTTAATTATTAATTTTATAGCATATCAAAAGGTCAATGCCACTAATAAAAGACTTCTTTGCTATTTTTAGCGTGATCATTTGGTTGTTTCAATAAATATTATAAATTAGTACAATAATTTACAAAGATTATTTCCCATAGCTCTATAAATTGTATGTTCCATATAAAATATATATATATATACAAATATATACAAATCATCAAAATTTCACCAGCCGATAATTTATAAAAAAAAAAGGTATCCAGTTTGTCAAATAAAATTTGGTCAAATTTTGCTTCCTTTATTTTTAGATTCAAGTTACAATATTTTTACAGGGTCTCTAAACTGTGAAAAAGGCAGTGGTAATTTTTTGGCGTACTTCAAATAATGCACGGAAAATATTAAAAATGTTATGTTTGCAAAATTCTTAGTTATGAAGGTCCAAAATTTCAAGGTATTTAATAGTAATAGTATCGATGAC